GGGGGGGGGGGGGGGGGGGGGGGGGGGGGGGGGGGGGGGGGGGGGGGGGGGGGGTACTGTAGTGGCGTTGCCCCCTCACGTCCGAGGTAAGGGAACGCTCAAGTAGGACCAAGATGGTGAGCGCTGGACCCTCGTCTCCCAGGAAAAAAAACAAAACACGTCTCACCTCGCCCAAGAAGTTTGCGACGGTGACCGACCGGAAGCGGTAACCAATGGGGTTGCTCTGCATCACGACCTGATCTCCGGATAAGAAGGGATACAAAAAAAAGCGTGAGCGGAGAGCATTGGCAAGGGGAAAGGCGTGAATGATGCTGCTGTCGATCAAACGGGACAGGCTACGAAAAGGGCAAGGAGAGGAAGAGAGAGAGAAAGAGAGAGAAGACGACGCCCCTTCGGCACAACAATCTCCGCGTTCCGGTGGCCCAACCGCGTGGAGAGTCACGGATTACTTCAATAGCACGAGATGTTCGATCGTTTGCACTTGGGTCCGGTTCAGGAGGCCGTCCACTTCCACCAAGGCTGTTGAGGCTGCCACTACGCAATTACTCCGGCCCTATCTGTCGCGCTGAAAAAAAAAGATCAGCCCACTGCTACATGTCCTCGCCTGTTGGAACAGCACCCCCGCCCCGTCCATGTGCAGGTGCTGCCCGATGGACATGGCGCCGGCGGACTCCCCGAACAGGGTCACACGTCCGGGGTCGCCGCCGAAGCTGGCCACGTTGTCGTGCACCCACTCCAGCCCGAGCCGTTGGTCCTTGTTTTCAGACGAAAATGTTTTTTAGAGTGTTGGGTTTTTGGACCATGTCGACACGTGAGTGAGACCCGCTCCTTTGAGCATGTGGTTCGGTCGTTCTCAAGCCAACACGCAGCCAGTCGACTAGTGAGCGTAAACGTCACTGGATTCGTTGCCTACCTGTTGTTTTCGCCCGCCCCTCGACGCGCGATGCTCAGCAGGAAGTCATCCTTGCCCGTTTCAAGGGAAAACCGCACTTTATGTATACGATCACCCCACTCGCAAGACAACGGGCACACCACTATGCTAAGTGGCACGCGTGAGCGTGTGCGTTCGAAAGCAAGATAAGAGGCAATACTGCTGTACCTCGACGCTCGAGACATCACGCAACAGGAAAAGAACACAAGTGCAACGTGGATCCCAACACCGCCCCCCCACCCCCCATATTCCCATCCACAGATACCCTGTCTATGCACAGCCGAGAGACACTGAACACGAGCCGCACAGAAAGCGTGAACGTTATATTTCTCGTCAGCGACGTCGTCGGTGCGATTTCACGGAATATACCGCCATCGTACCGCGTGTCTCGTACTACCAAGTATATGGCACCTGCAATCCGTAGTTTCCCCAAAGGTTATCCGTGACCGACACCATCCAGCCCAGTGCGCCAAGCCGGTAGTTGATGGATACCACTACAATCCCTGCGAAGCGAAAGCACAAGGACGAAACCGACATCGACATGGACAGTGACAGCAATTAACAAGGCTGAGCGTGATCTCAAAGGAGCGGATGAGGCGGGCCGAAAGGACACTCGACTCGACTCGGGGGGGGGCGGGGTAGCCATGTAAACGCATGCCGTAGTCGTTCGACCATATACCCCTCGCATTCCTACAACGCTAGGAAGGAGCGATTTTCGCGGGTAGGGGGGGGGGTTGAGGGGGCGAAAATAAGAAAGAAGAAAAAGGACATGATCCAACGCACGAGAAAACCCCTACAAAACCAACCAACCAACCAACCAACCAACAAACCCTAAAAGATGTACTCTGTACCTCGCTCCGCGAGACGCCTCCCGTCGTACTCCGGGTGAGACGACGCTCCCTGTTGGAAACCGCCTCCGTAGAGCCACACCATCACCGGTAACTTTGACCCCTTCCTCGTACCGGGAGGGGTCCACACGTTGAGGAACAGACTGAACACGCCAACCGGCGGGGGGGGCATAGGGGCACCAGGCACAGGGAGGAGGGGTCTCAAGAGGGGAAGGGGGGGAGGAGTGGGAAAAGAAAGGGCTGTGTGTCGTGCCCATTGCCGGGTGCTATCCGTGAACGGCGCGAGTGCTGCGAGCGCTGATTTGAAGTGAAGACAACAACAAAAAGAATCCATTGCCGGGCCTTGTGTCTCGAACGCGTTCAAGGCGGCGGTTCACGACGGCGGTTCACGACGGCGTTGCTTTTCGAGAAAAGCCAGGGCCATCGAACGCAGAGATTTTTTCTCCACAAAATAGGGGAGGGGGGGCGGGGAGTACGGGTTTTCTACACATCGAGCCCTAACACCTCTCGGACTTTGTATATTATCGGGCAGGAACGTGTACAATGTAAGGAACCGCCAGATCAAAACAAAAAAATATTCCTGTCAAGATGTTTCGAACTCAAGTGAGTAGAACTTGGAGTCGTGACGCAAAAGAGTCGGTTTCAACCCCCTTCAAAACCCACAAACCGATCACTAAATGGAGCTGTGCTGAATGAAAGAAGAGGGTAAAATGAAACACAGCCCAGACATACGAGCTGTGCTGCGTCGGTGAGAGAAGCCAGAGCTGTGAAGCATGACAGCGAGAAGCCAGGTGAATACATCCGTGATTGTCTTGGCATCAACTTTCAACCCTGCCCAAATATCGTGGTCATCTCACCAGTCTTCTGAAACGGAAAGCGGGGGACCTGGGCGATGGCGTTCGTGGGGTGTCCAGTGTACGTGGAAAGGGTCCAAGAGCAAGGGGCAAGGGTAGGCGCCGAATCGGCAGCAAGCAGTGGTAGTAGCAGTAGCAGCAGCAGCAACAACAGCAGAGGCAGAAGCAACAGCAGCAGCAGAGGCAAAGGCAAGAGCGGGACATCGGAAAAGGAAGAGAGGCGCGGACGGACAGCGTACATACGACATGAGAGGACGGGAGGCGAGAGATCGACATCCGCCATGCCTGTTCGTGGAACTTACGTCACAGACACACACACACACACACAGGGCTTGAAATAACCCTTTTGCTGTCCTCCGCTCTTTGCATCAGTGGCTTCCTAGGTTCAAGCGAGGGCATGTGTGTAGCTAAGATGTGTGTCTGCGTGAAAGAACATGTAGAGAGTCGTATTGGCATTCGCATCAAGCGCATTGCGCATTTTTCGAATTTTGGCCCCCTTCCAGGGACCTTGATTTTTACCCGCTGGCACTGACGTCTTTTAATTGGTCAGCCGGTTAGCGCGGTCGATGCTAATAATAAAAAAACACACACACACACACACACACGATCCCCCCCCCACGCCCCCAATGCAACCTTGAATGACCGAAAGTATCAAATTCACTTGCCGCCCAATCGCCAACAAGTCGAAATAGCAAGAGCAGCAGCTTCGAACTCAGACCCTTCGAAAAACACAACACAGCAGCTGTTTGGCTTCGCCAATCCTCCTGTACATGGACGACATGTAGTACATTCAAGCCTCCGGGTGCACAGAGACCGAAGCAGTGGAGAGGGGGAGGCAAACGATACTGCGTGCCGAAAGGCAGCTGTCTTCGAAGAACAACTGGCGTGTGGGAGAGCGCCGACAAATGACACAGATACACCAGTAAGTGGTAAACGGACAAACGACACCAGAACAGAAAATCTACCAACTGCCAACGACAGAAGCCAACCTACTTCGAACACACGACGTGCGGACGCTTACAGCAGCAACTTACTTGGGTTGCCCTCGATGCTCTGCATGCACTCGGGGCCAAACTCGAGCGCCTCGAGCCTCTCGCCCCCCCACGATGCCAGGGGCACCGGCGGCTCGAAGCGGAGCTTCTCCAGCGGCGGCAGGGCGTACGGGATCCCGAGGAAGCCTCGCACGCCTCCCCGCAGGACCCTGCCCACCACCCGGCCGAGCTTGGTGTCCACCGCCGCGCGGCCTTTCGTTGGTGAATACATCCGGCCCGTCATTTCGTCGGTTTTCGTTGACACGGTTGGGGCCGGGGCGCCGTTACGGGAAAGCGTGTTTTTGCTGGAGGGTGTAAATGTAGTCTGCAGTGCTCCCGCAATAACGCATATACTCAGCGTAGTACCGTCTTGTACGCAACTAGCGAGAATTTCAGATGGATCCTACCAAAGGGGGGAGGAGTCTGAAATGGGGTTTCATTGGAGTTGATAGAAGTGGCATTTATGTCATTTGGCGAAGAGGATGTGTGCGTGTTTGTAGGAGAGGAGGCCTGCGTGCCGAGATAAGACAGGTGCTCGAAGGACATTCCTATTGCGCCCGATCACGTTCAAGCATCAGCAGTGCTAGGAGGAGCACAGGGGTTGCGAGACGTACGAGTGGACAACACGGCTAGCTCCTACCTGTTAGGACATTCTGTTTCCGGAAGCTAGTGTTGTCGTCTTTCCCACTAACGCCACCCTCGATTTTTCCAAAAGAGGAGGGGGGGGGGAGGCGATAACCGGGGGTACGAGTACCGGGGGAGTCGCGGACATGTCGATTTATGACTGCTATTTGTCCACGAAGAACTGGGGTATGAGGGTCTGACTAGTGGATGTCGATGGTAGAGTACCATTGGGGGTCTCGGTATACTGAGACGGCATTTTGTTACATGTAGGCCCGGCCAGTTGACATGGAAGGGAAGCTTGGGTACTGGATGAGAGAGGGAGGCGATGCCTCCTCGTTATTTGCCAGTGACTTACCTTCCAGACTTCACGGAAAAAAACAATAAAAATGATACTTTGGAAAAATACAATAAATGAAGTATATTTCAGCGCTTTGAATGGCATGCTATGTCGGACAGCAGCAAGAGGCACAGACAGAGCGGAGAGCTGATGGCCAACCCTCCTTTTTTGTCTCGGTTTGCTGCTGCCTGGTGGCAAGCACTCCCTCTCTCTCTCTCTGGAAGCTGAACCAGAGAGCAGCGTTTCAATGCATGCTTCTATGCATGTCGTGCGTACCGTAGCATGAACAAATTCAAAGTAAACACATCACCCCACGCGCAAGGAGGGGTACATACAAGTGACACAAGATATCACACTACCTGGACCGCTTTTAAAGCTGAATTTCTCCACAGCAGAGAGTGGAGGCGCCGATGACGGCGACGTTGCAGCCGTCTCGTCGGGCAAGGGGCCCTCCACGTCGAAACATTGGAACACCCCTAGGTTACGTGCCAATCTCGGTCGCGGTTGGGGGGGGATAGACCTTGTGTGTCCCCGGGGGAGAATATTTTGACAAAATCCCCGGGGTTTTGACATATTTCGGGCGCTTTTTCCAGCGCGCGCGCGCGGGATCCCACGCAGAGCTAGTGGAAAATATGGAAACACCCCAAGAAACGCGTCAATCTTGGTCGCGAGGACTAGTGTATGGTGTAGGAAAGAGTATGACGACACGAAAGCCTACAAATTAAAGGTGTTTATGGGTTTCAGAATGCGGCACGAAAGTCCATTCAATGAAGAGTATATTGCTTTTACTATTTACACAATAAATGAAGTATATAATTGACTGCTGCAAGTGAGCCGCCTAAAGTGGCGATCCTGCGTGTCAATCTTGGCCCGGGAGGGGCGGGGGTGGGGTGGGGTGTTCCACAGTTTCCACATGGAGGGACCCTTGCGTCGGGAGCTTTCCGAAAACATTTGTATCGTTTCGTGTGTGCATCAACCTCGTCGCGGATTAATCAACCTTCAAAATTCGGTGCAGAGGGTGTGGTATCTTGCGTCGCCTACGGTTTGTAATCAGTCTGCACCTGCTAGGACATCTACAGCAACATGAACATATCCAGCTTGGCCGACCCTTGTCTCTCCTCCCACACTCAGTTCACCATTCCCGTGCACAGTCCTGCTACTGTCTTTGCGCTCTCACGACAAGCGACAGCAGTCAGCAGGCACAGGCACACATGAACGACGAGGGGGTATTGTAGGGAACTTCAAACTGCTGTATCGCAACTGCAACATGGCACGGGCACGAGATCGACCGGAGGGCCGCAGCCAGCTGGAGCGACACGCCGTAGAGCAATTGGACAGAAAGAAAGTGGAGCAGCGAGCTCCTTTGTGTAATGCGAGGGTGAACCCAAAACCTCCACCACCTCTGTCGGGCCTTGCTGCTGGCTCTTGTCTCTTTCGTCGCCTCTGCGCTCTGCTCACCGTAGTCTTGCTCGCTCTGGAAATACTCGAAGGCGTCGATAGTCGCAGCCGAGCGGTGTAGCAGCAAGGGGATTGCCATCACCACAAAACGTGGCCACGGGGGGATCATTTCTCGAAGCCGGGAGCGGGCCATCGCATACAGCAGCACAGCTGGAGCAGACTCGGCACGTGCTCTGCCAGAGAGTGTTCATTGGGTTGGAGGGGTCCTCCGTGTTGCAGAAGGGTTCAGGGTACATACGTACCCCACACTCCACACAACTGTTTGATGCACGGGGCCACCGAGAACCCATCACAACGGGGCACAGGTAGGCCCTGACCTGTTATTGTTGTTGTTGTTGACTTCACATTAAACCGTATGCCAGTTGCTAAATGCCAAAATCTAGCAAAGACTCTCGGCCCGTGGTCACGAAAGTGCTGGAGCCATCTGAGGATCTAAAGAACACGCACACGTAGCAAGAAAAAGGTGTACAAGAGCCCGAAGAGGTACTACTACACCTATATATAATCCCTGCAGCACCGTACGCGTGCCCAAAACTGAACTACACGTCCGTCTCACCGTTCGACTACAGCAACATCACCCCCTACCTGTCCCACTCTGTACCAAAACGAATGATTGCCGACTACAGCATACTTGCTGTCTGAAGTGCTGTCTGTACAAAAACACCATGGTAGGCATGGAACAAGAAGCTGGCGGGGCACAAAGCTGCTGTCTGAAGTGCTGTCAGAATGTGTCTGCGGACGTACAGTGAAAAAGAACAACCAACCAAAGCCATGATTGCAATGGACAATCACCCGAACCTCTCCCGATCGTCTGTGTTAGGCACGCAGTGAAAATATCGACAATAGCTAAGAATCGTTCCACATTGAAGGGGTCTTCCACGATCAGGCACATAACCAAGGCACCCGGGTTAGCCACGCCATCTCTGACGGGTCTCTCTACAAAACCAGTGACGACGTCATCACATAGAACCAACACCGAAAATCAGGAAAAAAACGAGAAAAATTGACAACACAGATCAGATATAAATGTTTGTCCGTGCGCCACGGGTCGATGTCGCCCGCATGCTCCGGTGCCGCTGCTCCGTCCGGCGCCGCTGTAGTCAGCCCGAGCATAACGCCACTCGACCTGCTCCGTCCGTACACGCTCTCGTTGCTGTCCTTCCCAGTCGGTTCCTCGCTTTCTCCCTCGTCGCACTTAGGGTTCTCGGTCTGAAGATTCTCGCGCCGAAGGGTCAACCAGCCCAATCAGCTCGTCACCACCTGTCCCCTCCTCCTTTGATGGCAAAACCAGGTTACTGAGACAGTACAGCTCCCTCTAACAAACCTAGGGCCGTGTACATAGTTCCCGTCCACCTTCTGACGGTGTCTGCCTCCGCGCACAAAAAATGAGATGGGCATCGCTGCCTACGCCGACGGCCAGAGGCCCGCGCATCTACATTTTTTCGCCTGACCCCATCAGTGCCGACCCAACTACACCACCACGCGCATGCCTCGCGGCGGATATGCGCAGCAGCAAGAAGGTTTCGGTCATCCCTTGAGGGTGAGTCTAGCCCTGCTCGCCAGAAAGACCCCCCCCTTCGCTACAACCCATGTCTAAGCAAAAGCTTGTCGAGGAGCGAGGGGAAGAAGGGAGAATTGTTATTATGCATATACAGTATTCTATAGTCTATATTTCTTAACATTTTTATGCACGTTTTACGGCACGTGCGTAAACTCAAAAGGCGACATATGCACGCTGGTTATGCTCAATTCCTCGCGTGTGCTCGTACTTCTGCGCGCTTTTTTTCTTCGTCCCTCGTGCTCGGGCAATGCTTGTTTTGGTCGTTAATGCTCGACATATGCGCGCGCGGTTGGCTTCGTCGACACGCTTTGTTTATTATGCTGTCTGCCACCGTCGAAATGTGTGAATAATTGTGTTGCTGTATCACACAGCGTAAATTATCTTGGACTAGTCTAGTCTTTCAGCAAATGTGTTTTCGACGCATCCGACTACTACTACTCTGCACTCGTTCGTTCTAGTAATAAACAAGGTTTTCGTGTGATTGAGAGCGAAGTTTCTGATTGAGAGCGAGATTGCGCGATGCGCTGTAGCTGGACTACCGCTGAGAGGTGGAGCTTGCTGCGTGACTTGAATTGAAGGCCTAGCCCGTAGCTACAAGCCGATACCCTGGTCATCCTGTGGGCGTCTCTCGTTGTGGAGCTACAGCGGGGAGCAGAATCTACAGCAGAGCTCACCGCCCGCGATCAAATCGCCCTGAAACAGTTTGAG